GTATAACAGTTTGGTCCTATAAAATTTTCAGTATAACAGTTTATTTAACACAAAATTTTCAGTTTTTTTACATAAAGTTTCGAATATAATGGTTTTTTATAAAGTAAATTTTCAGTATAACAGTTTTGTGTATAGAAAACATTGTTTATAACAGTTTTCTATAAAAAATTTAGTTTATAACAGTTTTCTATCAAAAGTTTTGAAAAATTCGAAAAATTACAGTATTTCCGTTTAGTTCTGCAAAAAATTTGGTTTGTAACAGTTTTTTCTTTAAAAATTTAGTGTATAACAGTTTTTTTCTATTAAAAATTTCTAGTATAACAGTTTTTTCCCAAAGAAATTAATGGTATAAAAGTTTTTTAAAGAAATATTAGTTTGTAGCAGTTTTTTTCTATAAAGAATTCAATTATAACAGTTTTTTCTGTAAAAATTTTCGAGTATAACAGTTTTTTTGATACTCTGAAATATAAAGAGTTTTATTTGAAAAATATTCTAGAATAAAATTTTCCATTCCTGCTTTTAATTCTATAAGAAAAAAGGTAAGTAACTAACTGAAGTAATCAAGAGAGGAAAAAAAGTTTAAGAGAGTAAAATTTAAAAGAGCTTTGAGCAAATAAAAGAGTATGAGTATTAAAAACTAAATAAACGACTACAAATATGGAGAAACAAAAAGTAAACCAAAAAAAGGGGGAGATTAATGAAAACATTACTTAAGTACAAAGAGCGAGAGAGTAAAACGAGCACAAAATCAAAACACAAACATACAAGACGTAAACACAAACAGACACAAACATAAACAGACACAAACATACACAAGTAAACCACAAGTAAAGAAATGAAAATGCTGGTTTTTATTAAAAAAAGTATATTGTTGTAATTTTTTTTATATATAATTAAATATTTATTATCATTTAGTTTAATATTTAAGAGCAAAAAACAAAAATTATTTTTAATATAATAATAAGAGAAATAGTAAAAAGATTTTTATATAAAATGTTTTTTTTTTGAGGATTTTATGTTTAACTATTTGATTTTTGAGTTTAAGTTTGATTTTTTATTTATTTTAGATGTTTATTTAAAAGATGAAAGCACACACAAAAATATAAAAATATTTAACTAAATGTAAGTGAGAGAGAGAGAGAAAAAAAAAGAAACGGAAACTCAAAAATATTTTAGGAATTTTTTTTTTAAGAAAAATTAAAAATAATACTACATTTAGGGTTAAGGCCTGGTTTTGTTTTATTTTTTAATTATTTATATAATTAAAAATTTAAATTAAATTAAATAATTATTGCAATATTAAGTAAAACTGTGTAAAGTTAACTTAAATAAGAAATTTTCGTTTTTTTTTCAAAATGTATTTTTTTTTTTATAAAAAAGTTAAAATTTTTTTAATATAATACATTTTTTTATTAAAAAAATAAAAAAACTAACTTATGGTTTAAAATAAGAAATTGTTAAAGTTTTATGAGTTTTTTTTTTTTAATTAAATTAATGGAATATTTGTTTGATTTTACCTAATTTTTATTTCAATTTTAAAATAAATTTTTTTTCGTTTTTCTTTCATATTTGGCAGTTTGTGTTAAAGTTTAAATGATTTGTTATAAATATTTGACAGAGAAAAACAAAAACACTTAAGATTTTTTTTTGGACAAACTAAAAAAGCAACATAAAAAATTTATTTATAACACACACACATGAAAAACTTTAATTAAATTATTTCATTTTTATATAAACTTATATTTTAAAACAAAAAATGTTTTACAAAAAAAAAGACATCATAATTTTTTTTGGTTCATAATGATGTTAATGATAATGTGTTTGAAAATGTTTTAGCAAGCTTTTAAGCATTTTATAAAATAATTTTTTTTTTATAAATATTTAATTTAAAAAAAATAAACTAAAATTTTGTTTAAAATGTTATTTGTGAATGAAAATGTTGTTAGTTTCGTTTTTTTGTAATGATAAAATGTGTGAAATTTAATGAAATGTAATTCGTTGTTTTTTATAACTTTAATTTTTAACAGTGTATTTTGCTTTTTTTGTTTTCAATTTAAAAAAGTCCCTAAAAATCTAATTTTTGAATTAAATTCAGCCCAAATTTATTGATTTTAACACTTATTTGCATTTTTACTAACGGGAAATGGAGAACTTCGCAAGTTTTAAGCGAAGTCGAAGTTCGAATTTTCGAACTTAATCTCGAACAAAGAAATTTCACCTAAAATTACTGATTTTAACACTTATTATCATTTCTACTAAGAGATTTATAAAAAATTCAAGTTTCAATCCATTTTGCCGAAGTTCGAATTTTCGAACTTAAATTCGAACATAGAAATTTGACCTTAACTTACACATTTTAACTCTTACTTTAAGCCATTTTAAGCCATTTCGCCGAAGTTCGAATTTTCAAACTTAATTTCGAACATAGAAATTTTACCCAAATTTACTGATTTTAACACTTATTTTCATTTCTACTAAGAGAATTAGGAAAATTTAAATTTTTAAGCCATTTAAAGAAAGTTCGTATTTTCGAACTTAATTTCGAACATAGAAACTAGGCCAAAATTTACTGATTTCAACACTTTTATTCAATTTAACTAAGAGAAAGGCAATATTTTCAACTTTTAAGCCATTTAAAGGAAGTCCGAATTTTTCGAACTTAATTTCGAATTTTCGAAAATTGACAAAATTTACCAATTTCTGGCTTTTTTTAATTTAGCCAATAGAATAGCTCGAATTTAACATTTTTACCCAGAAATGCTGAAATCGAATTTTCGAACTAAATTTCGAATTTTCGAAAATGGACAAAATTCTCTGTTTTTTACATTTTCTTCTAATTTAACAAATAGAACTACTTAAATTTTATATTTTTACAAAAAAACGCCTAATTCGGGGTTTCGAACTTAATTTCGAATTTTCGAAAATGTTCGAAATTTCAATATTTTTTCAAAATTTAACAAGAAATGTGCAATTTTTAAACAAAATTATAAAGTGTGAAAGAAATTTTGAAAAAAGTTTAAACATTTAGGCAAACGGTGGCTAAGAGACTTAAAGCCTTTTTGGAGCATAATTTCGAATTTTCGTAAATGTTCGAAATTTCCATATTTCCTTAAAATTTTATTTAAAAAAGTTTTAAAATGTCTAATTTTTCAAAAAAAGTTTAAAGTTTGAAAAAACTTTTGACTTAAAGAGAAAAGTTAGGAAAATAACTTAAAAGTTCATTATTTTTTGCTTCAAAACTAAAGTTTTCGTGCTACTTTATCGAAAGCTTTTAACATAAAGCTTTCTATAAAGTAGCAAGTAACATTGTCTATATGTAATCCAGCCCTCTTAGACTCTCTCGTTTCCATTTCGAAGGTTTGTGGCAAACAGCAGCTTGTGCTGTTTAAGAAAAAGCTCTTAAAAAGCTATTTTGTTATTAGGGAAATTAAGAGAGTCTATTATATCTCATTTAGTTAAAGCGCAAGTTGGTGTGTTGAAAAACACTTAAGATGCTTCTTTGATCAGGATTTAAGAAGCTTTTAAAAAAAGCTTTTGTAGTTTTTAAAGCTTTTATTTGACAATGAGTTTGTGTTACTCAGTGCTCTCCCTTTTCTTCTTTTAGCAGCATTTGTGTGACCACTATCTCTCTTTTGTAAGAAGAAAAAGCCATTAAAAAGCTTTTTTAGTTATTTAGGAATTTGAGAGAGCTTATGGAAACATTCTGCTACTTATTTAAAAAAAGCTTAAAGGATCTGAATTTAAGAAAACTTTAATTGAAGCTTTCATTTGACAGTGAACGCTTATATTTAATGGAGAGTGTGTAATCTTGTGCTCTCTCTTTTCTTCTTTTAGCAGCATTTGCGTGAATATTGTCTTTCTGTTTTAAGAAGGAAGATCAGTTACTTTTTAGTTACTTAGGATTTTGAGAGAGCTAATGGGAACATTCAGGTATTTATTTAAGAAAAAAGCTCTTTTCTTATTTATTTTATGTGATCATTTTCTTTCTGTTTTAATGTTTTAGTTGGTCTGTTAAAGAAAGCTTTTAAACGCTTTTTTGTTTTGTAAAGGATTTCAGGGGAAATTTATGAAAACATTCCTTTTATTTTTTATAGAAAAAGTTAAAAAAGCTTAAAGCTTCTTAAAGCTTTTTTATTAATGATTTAAGACCCTTTTCGGAAAGCTTTTTACAGCAAGAGAGTATTAGTAACATACGACTGCAGAGAGCGACAAGTTTTTTTGTTAAAGCTTTTGAGCTTTTCGTGTTTTCTACCGTTAGTTTTAAATAATTCAAGTTGAAATTAAGAAAATGTGAATAGAATTGAAAGAAGATAATAAAAATGAACAAAAAAGTTATAGTTAACTGTGTGTGTATGTGTTGTTCTTCCGGGTTAGTGTTCTGATAGCAAATTTACGGAGATATTTTTTATATAGAAATATAGTTGAAGGTTTTAGCAAAAAACCACTACAAAAAAAGCATGCAGAGACAACAAAAATTATTACAAAAAAAAATTCTTTTTAAATTTCAACATACAAAAAGTAAGAGAAGTAAACAAAATACAACAAAATACACTGAACAAAATTAATGTTTAAGTTACAAAAAAATATATATTGTATACGAATAAAATTTGTTTTCAAAAAGTAAACTATTTTTGAAATTATTACCAATCCATAGAATTAAAAATTGATTTTTACTTAAAATTTTCTTTAAGGGATCTTGAGTTATTGTTTTTTTTTTTTTAGAAAATTATAAAAAATTTTGATTCATGTTTTGAATAAACTTTAAGCTGTCATAGTGGCTAAAATGCTTAACAATGTTATGCATGTTGTGGTAGCAATAGCCATGACTGTAGATGTTGTTGTAATGGTGTTGATAGCCGCTGTAGTAGTAGTTGTTGTTGTTGTGGAACGTGTAAATAATGTTATGAAGTTTTTATGATTTGATGGGGCGGCTGAAGCCGAATTAAGACCGGCCGTATATAATAGAGTTCCCAAATTATTATTAGCAGAATCGGACTCACCTCGTGTTGTTTTCATTATAATGGAGGCAGGCGATGAGAAGCCTATAATGTTGTGGGCACGCAATTCTATGCGATAATAGGTGTTGCCACTTAAGCGTGTCATTTCATAGGAAGTGCTTTCGATAACATCGGCTGATTGACATTGATTTTCCAGCTCATGCCAGGCACCGGCCATTTTGACGCCCTAGGAGAAGAGGAGAAACGTTAATAAAGAGTTATAGTTATATTATGTTCAAATTTTCTACTTACCGGACAATATTTAACTTGATAGAAGTCAATGGGTTCACCATTATCGGCAGGTACACTCCATCTTAATTCAAAGTGATCGGAATAGGGTGAGACCACCACGGGTTCTTCGAAATCATTTTGTTCGGGTGCATGTAAAGGTTTGGGTTCTTCGGGTGCTGATCTCTTGGGTGTCGATTGTTGGGTATTCACACCCCAAATGCTTAAACCTACTTGATTGCGTGCAGCAAAACGGAAATGATACATGGTCTGGGGTTTCAGTCCCTCAACAATATAGGGCGAATCTGGAGACCAGCTGCGATTTTGGGCCGTTGACCAATCGGGATTAATGGCTTCTTTGTATTGCACTGTAAATGCCGTTATGGGTAAACCTAATTCTGTGGGTGGTCCTCGTATATCAAAAGTAATACTAGTAGCGGTTAATTGTTTGGGTACAGCAGCCTCCACAGCTTCGGGTACTCTAGCCTCCTTCAATTGCATATCATGCTCAGCCGTGCCATGGATATTGGTGGCAATACATTTATAAACCGAATAATATTGACGAGCCACGGGATGTACTATCAAATTACTACGTGGTCCTGTACCCTCAATCACTAAATTTTTATCGAAAGAATCCTTAATCGGTTTGCCATTCCATCTCCATTCAATGGTAGCATTTGGTATACCCATAGCCAAACAACTCAAATTAGCCTTACGCTCTTCCCAACTGAAGACGGGAGGTAAAGTTTTCATATGCGAGAAATCTGGTGGAAATTCCACAGTAATATGTCCCGTCTTATAAGCCGTTTCACCCTTGTTGCGAGCCAAACACTGATATAGACCATCATCGGTACGCATAGCACGAGCAATACGCAAAGTACCAGAACTTTCACCTTTTTCCTCATCAAAATGTTGTTCCAAAACAATACGATCATCATCGACCTGTACGCCCGGTGCATACTCATCCTCGCTGCCCCAACGTCTGAAGGTAATTTCGGGTGCAGGACGACCCTTGGCACGACATGTTATTGCGACTTCTTTCTCACTAATACCGGTCACATTGTACAACTCATAGACGGAGGGTCTTATCAAAACATTAAATTTCGTCTTCTTATCCACTACACCGGCATCGTTTTTCGCTATACATGTATACATGCCATAATCGTCCTGTGTCACCGAATTAATATTTAATAGCCCAGTCAGGGGATTCACTTGAAAACGATCTGCACTGGCCACATTTTGTTGGGTAGCATCTTTAATCCAGGAAATTTCTGGTACTGGCTTGCCGGTAGCTGTGCAATTGGCTGCAAATGGTTTACCCTCTACCGCTTCCAATGTATTGGGTAAGAAAGTGATCTCAGGACGGCTATAGACTTCAACGCGTATGGTACGTTCGAGTAGTTCACCAGTCTCAATGACAGCAGCACGGCAGGTATAAATACCATCGTCGGATTCTTGGACATTACGTATGAGAAGACCATGGGTTTGTACGACGTATTTATCGCCGGTGCGGATCTGGAAGTTTAGAGAAGGGAGGGAAAATTTTGAGATTTTGTTTAGTTTAGAAAGACTAAAATGTGGAATAGATTATAGAGTCTGGTCTATAATCTAGACTATGGAATGGACTATAGAGTAGACTATAGACTAGAATATAGACTAGACTATAGACTAGACTATAGACTAGACTATAGACTAGACTATAGACTAGACTATAGACTAGACTATAGACTAGACTATAGACTAGACTATAGACTAGACTATAGACTAGACTATAGACTAGACTATAGACTAGACTATAGACTAGACTATAGACTAGACTATAGACTAGACTATAGACTAGACTATAGACTAGACTATAGACTAGACTATAGACTAGACTATAGACTAGACTATAGACTAGACTATAGACTAGACTATAGACTAGACTATAGACTAGACTATAGACTAGACTATAGACTAGACTATAGACTAGACTATAGACTAGACTAGACTAGACTATAGACTAGACTATAGACTAGACTATAGACTAGACTATAGACTAGACTAGACTAGACTATAGACTAGACTATAGACTAGACTATAGACTAGACTATAGACTAGACTATAGACTAGACTATAGACTAGACTAGACTAGACTAGACTAGACTATAGACTAGACTAGACTAGACTATAGACTAGACTATAGACTAGACTATAGACTAGACTATAGACTAGACTAGACTATAGACTAGACTATAGACTAGACTATAGACTAGACTATAGACTAGACTATAGACTAGACTATAGACTAGACTAGACTATAGACTAGACTATAGACTAGACTATAGACTAGACTATAGACTAGACTATAGACTAGACTATAGACTAGACTATAGACTAGACTATAGACTAGACTATAGACTAGACTATAGACTAGACTATAGACTAGACTATAGACTAGACTATAGACTAGACTATAGACTAGACTATAGACTAGACTATAGACTAGACTATAGACTAGACTATAGACTAGACTATAGACTAGACTATATAGACTAGACTATAGACTAGACTACTAGACTAGACTATAGACTAGACTATAGACTAGACTATAGACTTGAGCTATAGACTAGACTATAGACTAGACTATAGACTAGGACTATAGACTAGACTATAGACTAGACTTTAGACTAGACTATAGACTAGACTATAGACTAGACTATAGACTAGACTATAGACTAGACTATAGACTAGACTATAGGACTAGACTATAGACTAAGACTATAGAACTCGACATAGACAAGACTATAGACTAGACTATAGACTAGACTATAGACCTAGACTATAGACTAGACTATAGACTAGACTATGACCCTAGACTATAGACTAGACTATAGACTATACTATAGCTAGACTAGTAGACTAGACTAAGACTATACATAGACTAGACTATAAGACGAGACTATAGACTAGACTATAGCTAACATAGACTAGACTATAGACTAGAACTATAGACTAGACTATAGACTAGACTATGACTAGACTATAGACTAGACTATAGACTAGACTATAGACTAGACTATAGACTAGACTATAGACTAGACTATAGACTAGACTATAGACTAGACTAATAGACTAGACGATAGACTAGACTATAGACTAGACTATAGACTAGACTATAGACTAGACTATAGACTAGACTATAGACTAGACTATAGACTAGACTATAGACTAGACTATAGACTAGACTAGACTAGACTAGACTAGACTATAGACTAGACTATAGACTAGACTATAGACTAGACTAGACTATAGACTAGCTATAGGACTAGACTATAGACTAGACTATAGACTAGACTTATAGACTAGACTATAGACTAGACTATAGACTAGACTATAGACTAGACTATAGACTAGACTATAGACTAGACTATAGACTAGACTATAGACTAGACTATAGACTAGACTATAGACTAGACTATAGACTAGACTATAGACTAGACTATAGACTAGACTATAGACTAGACTATAGACTAGACTATAGACTAGACTATATACTAGACTATAGACTAGACTATAGACTAGACTATAGACTAGACTATAGACTAGACTATAGACTAGACTATAGACTAGACTATAGGCTAGACCATAGACTATAGACTAGACTATATACTAGACTATAGACTAGACTATAGACTAGACTATAGACTAGACTATAGGCTAGACTATAGACTAGACTATAGACTAGACTATAGACTAGACTATAGACTAGACTATAGACTAGACTATAGACTAGACTATAGACTAGACTATAGACTAGACTATAGACTAGACTATAGACTAGACTATAGACTAGACTATAGACTAGACTATAGACTAGACTATAGACTAGACTATAGACTAGACTATAGACTAGACTATAGACTAGACTATAGACTAGACTATAGACTAGACTATAGACTAGACTATAGACTAGACTATAGAATAGACTATAGAATAGTCTATAGAATAGACTATAGAATAGACTATAGACTAGACTATAGAATAGTCTAGACCATAGACTAGGCTAAATTTTGTAATATTTTAACACAGCTTTGTAATCTTACTTGATCACCATTTCTCAACCAATCAATTGTAGGGTTAGGATCGGCCTTAACTTCACATCTCACCACATAATCTTCGCCCAAAATGGGATTTTGATTTTCGGGGGCATTTGTCCAAGTAATGGCAACTGTAAAGAGAGAAAAAAAACAGGAAAAAATTAATAATAAAATTAAATAAATTGTTTACAGACATCATGTGTGACAGTTACAAAATAGTTATTTACTAAAACTACTTTATTTTCTCTATATAAAACCACCAACACAAAAACAAGCAAACTTTAACTTAACTGCTCAAGGATACACGTCTAAAAAGATTTAAAGGATTTGAAGAGTATTTGTTGACATTTTCTGCTGAAAAATTTATTCTGTAAAGAACTTGTGTATGGAGGATAAACGTGACTAAACATAAACAATTTTCTCAAGTTTAGTTTTTCGTATATGGAAGTCAGAAAGATAGAAGACACTTTCAAGGGAGTGTTTAAGGATGTAGAGGTTTCGAAAAGTTGTCAAGACTACAAAGGGTAGAAGTTTTGGTTTGTTTGTAATAAGTTATTTATAAATATGTTTTGTTTTGTTTTTTTAAGAAATAAAGTTATTTTATTATGTTTTAAAGAAGTTTAATTGCTAAAGATTTATTTTAGAAAGTATGTAAAAAGCATGTTTAAAAAGAAAGAGATTTATAAGAAATTTTCTTTTAAAAAATTTGAGAAATTGTTTAGTTTTTTTTTTCAAGTTGTATAAATCTTTAGCCTGGTTTATGTTTTTTCAGATTTGTTTATATTTCCTAACAAACAAAATCTGTCTTTACTGTTGAAAATATATTTCTTTAAACTAACCAACCGGAAATCTTAACAAAACTACTCGAATTTCTTCCTTTTACATTTTGCTATTTATTTATAGTATTTTTCTTCGTTTTTATTTTTGGTTGTGCTTGTATTGTTTAAAAAGAAAAACTCTTAAACAAACAAATGCATTAGCAGTATAGAATACTAGATAAATAACAAGAAAAACTAGCTAAACAACAAAACATATCCTGTAGTTTTTATTTAAAAAGCTGAAAAAAAATTAGAGATTTTTTTCCACTGACATGCAAAGCTTTCAATACTAAACTAAAAGAGAAACTCCTAAAAATATACTTAAGAAAAAAACTTCTAAATTTTAGCTTGTTGTGTAAGGAAATCCTTGTGAAGAACGAAGGAACGAAAATCTCAACAGATCATATAGAAAACAAGTAACAACATGTGTTGTCATCAGCACGTAGAAAAAGCTAAATAAAGGGAAAAAATGTTTTGTAAACTAATACAAACTGACATGTTAAACTTATATTAAGGCCAAAAGAATTTTATTCTGATTTTTTTAATTTTATTTAAAATTTTATAAAAAACCGGTAAATCGAATAATTATTCGGTTTTTATTCGAATAATTTTTCGGTTTTTATTCGAATAATTTTCATATTTTAAAAATTTCATAAATATGTCTATTAAGGAAACTTATTTAGTAAATTTTTATAACCAATCCCCTACATAAAACTAGAAATATAAAAATTTTCCTAACAAAATATTCATTATTGATGGAAATACTTTTTCGAATTTCCCTTATTTATGGAAATAAGTTTTATAAAATTTTAAAATTTGCATAAAATGTTAATAACTTTTCACTAATTTTATTAAAACTTCAAACGTTTCAACTTAAAAGAGAAATTTGAAAATTTTTTCCAATTTATTCGAATAATTTTTCGATTAATCGTTTCATTTAATCGAATAATTTTAAGACTATTTGTAAATTTTTAATTTTCATTTATTAATGAGTAATAGTATTTTTTTAAATACAAAGGGTAAATTGGAATATATTCGAATAATATTCGATTAATTATTCGGTTATTTATTCGTATAATTATACGAATAATGTTTTTAAATTTGCTAAAATTTTAGTTTTTTATATATAAATATGCTTTGGCTATAGTTTTTGCCATAATGCCAAATTTATTCGTTTAATTTTTGGATTATTCGCTTCATTTAATCGAATAATTTTAAGAATATTTGTAAACAATTTTATAATTTTCCTTTTTTTAATTAGAAATAGTATATCTAAAATACAAAAGCTAAATTAAAATATATTTGTACTTTACTCGAGTAATTATTCGGTTCTTTATTAGAATAATTATCCGAATATATTTCTTTAATTTGCTTAAATTTTAGTTTTTAATAGAAGAAATATGTTTTCGCTATAGTTTTTGCCAAATTTATTCGTTTAATTTTTGGATTATTCGTTTCATTTAATCGAATATTTTTAAGAATATTTGTAAATTTTTTTATAATTTTTATTTTTTAATAAGAAATATCATTCCTCAAATACAAACGTTAAATTAAAATATTTGCATATACTATTCGATTAATTACTCGGTTATTTATTCGAATAATTATCCGAATATTATTTTTAAATTTGCTAAAATTTTAGATTTTTATATAAAAATATGCTTTAGCTATAGTTTTTGCCATAAATTTTCAAATTTATTCGTATAATTTTTCGATTATTCGTTTCATTTTATCGAATAATTTTAAGAATATTTGTAAAAAAATTTATAATCTACCTTTTTTACTGCAAAGTAGCATTTCTTAAATACAAAAGCGAAATTAAAATATTTGCATTTTTTACTCGATTAATTTTTCGGTTTTTTATTCGAATAATTATCCGGATATTTTTCTTTAATTTGCTTAACTTTTAGTTTTTCTATAGAAAAAAATATGCTTTAGCTTTAGTTTCTGCTTTAAACTGGCAAATTTATTCGTAAAATATTTCGATTATTCCCCTATTTATTAGAATATTTCGAAAAAATTTCCTATTGGCCTTTCTAACATAACTAGCCTTTTATTTAGTTTCTTATCCTTAGAATTTTGTACTTTTTCTTGTCTTTTTTAGATTCTTTTCTTCGACAAATCAATCCTTTTTCTCTAACTGAAAAACTTTAGATATTGAAAAAGTTTTTTTTCAGCTGTTTGCTTATAAAAGAAAACAAATATCTCTATACAATGTTCTATATTTTTGTTCTATGGAAAAATCAAATTAAATTTATTTGTTTTAAATGAAATTATTTGAAATGTAAAAAAAAGAAAACTTTATGCAAAATATGTTAAATAAAGTTTCATTCATTCTTTTTTTTTTTTTTTTGGTTTCCATAATGGCCATATGTTTTCTCAATAATTTGTGTTTTTTTTATAACAACATCTTCAAATAACTTAAAATTAATTTTGCCAACCACTTAAAAGGCAGGTTTATGAAAACAATAAAAGTTTTTTTAGATTAAAAGAAAAGTTGGCAAAACATTTAACAATATTTTGTTTTGAATAAAGTTTAATTTAATAAATATAGAGAATAAATTGAAGAAAATACAGTAAACCCCTAAAAATATACTACTAATTAAACATTTGCAATATCTATACCCTAGTCTACAGAATAATCTAGTCTGGCCTATACATAGACAAGTCTATAGCCTGGCCTATAGACTAGTCTATAGCCTGGTCTGTTCTATAGACTAGTCTATATTCTGACCTGTAGACTATTGTATAGTCTGGATTATAGACCAGTCTATAGTCTGGCCTATAGACTAGTCTATAGTATGGCTTATAGACTAGTCTATTATCTGGCCTACAAACTAGTCTATAGTCTGGCCTACAAACCAGCCTATAGTCTGGCCTACAAACTAGTCTCTAGTCTGGCCTACAGACTAGTCTATAGTCTGGCCTATAGACTAGTCTTTAGTCTGGTCTATAGACAAGTCTATAGTATGTTCTATAGATTAGTCTATAGCCTGTTCTATTGACTAGTCTATAGACTGGCCTGTAGACTAGTCTATATAGTCTGGCCTATAGGCTAGTCTATAGTCTGGACTATAAACTAGTCTATAGTCTGGCCTACAGACTAGTCTATAGTCTGGCCTACAGACTAGTCTATAGTCTGGCCTACAGACTAGTCTATAGTCTGGCCTACAGACTAGTCTATAGTCTAGCCTACATACTAGTCTATAGTCTGGCCTATGGACTAGTCTATATTCTGGCCTACAGACTAGTCTATAGTCTGGCGTATAGACTTTTTTATAGTCTTGCCTATAGACTAGTCTATAGTGTGGCCTTTAGACTAGTTTATAGTCTGGCCTATAGTATATCCTGATCTATAGTTTAGTGTATACTTTTAGACTATATTGTAGTCTAGAGTCTGGTTTCAAGTCTAGTCCATATTCTGGATTCAAGTCTAGTCTATATTCTTGCTTATAATCTAGGCTCTAATGTGGACTATAGTCACTTTTATAGTCTGGACTATAGGCTAGTTTAAGGTCTAGCTTACATGACTATAGTGTGGTATATGCGCAAGACTTAAGCCTAGTTTCTGCATTATAGTCAAGGCTACAGCCTTAAATTTTGATTTACATTTCCTTAATTTTACAACAATTAAATTTTGTTCTTAAACTCCCTAAACTATGCTTCTTTTTTCCCCCTAAAAAAACATTTATTATGCCACATAATAAAACTATTATCTAGCTTTCTATATAGTTTTATAATTTTCCCATAAAAACTGAAAACTTATTTCAACGTACTTGCACATTAGACAACAACTATTATTATCTTTTAGTAAAAGAAAAAAGTTTACAACAAAAAAATGTTTTCCGCCACAAACTACTGCAATCATAATCGTTAACAAAATATACATATATTTTGCAGCAGACTTAACAGCAGCTTCCTATTTTTGGGGAGCAAAAAAAAAACGAACCAAATAAAACTATAACGCCTTTTTCCCCAAAAAAGAGCAGTAAATGAGCGCAACAAATCCTGAACAAAAAGAAAGATATTGAAACTAAAGCACTTGAAAATAGGCTTTAGTTTTTTTTGTTACTTTACTTTTGTTTGTTTATCCTAAAAGTAGACTATAGTATTGCTACTACTTTTTGTTATAGATATTTAAGTAATATTTGTAAAAAAGAAACTGCTTAAGTATTACAAAATTAAGTCCACTTTAATTTGAGTTGCTAAACAATGAAAGGAAAAGGGGAGAAAGGATTTAATTAAATATTAAACCAAAAAAGTAGGCAATAGTTTTTTTTTTAACAATTGTGACAGGAATTAAAACAAATTTTGTAAGAAATCTGGGTTTAAAAATGTTTCTGAAAGAGAATATTTTAGGTATTAAGGGAGGTGGTGTTATTTTAGAAATTAATAACAAAAATTACACCTAAAAGTAGGCAATAAAATTTTAGTTTTTTTAATAAAGCCATAATTTTTTTATATTTCAAATTGTTACAATATTGTTTTTATTTTAATTTTCTTTCAATATTGTTTTTCTTTGGAAATTATGCTTTTTAAACTCTTTTTTTCTCACCCCTAAAAGTAGGTTGTGAGCACAACTTTCTATGTTTTTCTTTTGATAACTTTTTCTTTAAATATTTAATTAAAACAAATTTCTTAGAATTAACAAATAAAATTTATTTTTATTGCTAAATACATAACAATAAATGCAGTTGTCTTTAGGTTATGTAAACAATGTAGCCTACTTTAAGGCTATTAAATAAATTATGTAAATAAGAAGAAATTTTGTAGAGAAAAGTGTGTGTTAGACATGTTTATAGTATTTTTTACAAAATTAAGTTGTTAAAGTTTAAAATATGCTGTTGTTGAATAGTTTTATAACAAAAATCCCTATAGAAAATTCCATTATACTAAAATTAATTTCATTATCAAGTTGTTCAGTTTTAGCAGCCAAAAAGTATGCCATAATTTTTGTATGCGTCTAAAGATAGGCTATAGATTTCTTGTTGTTTAAACATTTTTGGCTTGAAGTTAAACTTGAAATTTTGCCAAAAGTTTACACAAAAAATTCTTTAATAATTATCTTAATAAAATTAGTAAAAAGTTAAATCTATAAAAGTTTATTGGCTTTTAAGGAAAATTGCTGAAAGGAAGAACAATTTTGGATTTTAACTTTGTAAATATTGTCAAGTATTAAACTAGTAAAAGTACTAAAATTGTAAGTAAATAAATTATAATCTCTAATAATTTATAAGCTGCTTATAGTTGCTAAAAACAGAAATATTAGAATTTATAAATTATTATAAAACTACAAAGAAATATTAGATACTAGTTCTTCTTCTTCTTTTGGCAAACTTTTTGATAAAACAAGTAACATTTAAAACATTTGCCTTAAAGTGTGTTATATTTTATACATGATCCTAAAAGTATGCTAAGTTTTAAGAGCTTAGTAGTAATACTAAGCAAAAGTGTTTATAAATTCTCTATTTCTTAAAAAAGCTTAACAAATTTAAGACTTTTTTATACTTAAAAACTAATTCAATTAATTTTAAGACAAAAATCTTAAACTACTTTAAGGCGTTTAAAGAAAAAAACTCTATGTTTTAACATAAACATTATTTTTATAAAAAAACTAAATTAAATTTATCATTACTAAATGTTAAGAAAAAAACACTACTTAAACTATAGTAAAATCTTTTCATACGCCAAAAACTATGCTACAGTTTATGTTATAAGCAAAGTAAATCTAATTAAATTAATTTAACTTTCAAAATAAACAAGACACGCTAGCAAAGACATTACAGCTTTTCCTAAATTAAAGACAATTTTTGACTGAAAATACTCAACATAGTATAAGGCTTTTTAACGTTAAGTTTTTTTTTCTATAAACTAAAGTTTACTAAAAGTTTATGCCTAAAAGGCAGTTTAGCAAAGATTGTGGAATAACTTTGGAATAGCTAAAAGGGGAACAACAACTAAGTAAATGTATAATTTATTTAATCAACATAGTAATGGAAAAGATTATCTGGAAAAAGCTAAACAATTAAATTGAGAAACTAAAGCATAATTTTTGGGGCATTTGCAGAAATAAAAAGTTTTAACAATTAAATCAAATTTGTTACAATAATTACGTAATATTGGACAGCAACATGGAAATGAGAGTAAAATTATTCGAATAGAGAAACTATAGTCTAGTCTATAGTCTAGTCTATAATCTAGTCTATAGTCTAGTTTATAATTTAGTCTATAGTCTAGTCGATAGTTTAATCTATAGCCTAGTATATAGTCTAGTCTATATTCTAGCTTATAGTCTAGTCAATAGTCTAGTCAATAGTCTAGTCTATAGTCTAGTCTATAGTCTAGTCTATTGTCTAGTCTATAGTCTAGTCTATAGTCTAGTCTATAGTCTAGTCTATAGTCTAGTATATAGTCTAGTCTATAGTCTAGTCTATAGTCTAGTCTATAGTCTAGTCTATAGTCTAGTCTATAGTCTAGTCTATAGTCTAGTCTATAGTCTAGTCTATAGTCTTGTCTATAGTCTTGTCTATAGTCTAGTCTATAGTCTAGTCTATAGTCTAGTCTATAGTCTAGTCTATAGTCTAGTCTATAGTCTAGTCTATAGTCTAGTCTATAGTTTAGTCTATAGTCTAGTCTATAGTCTAGTCTATAGTCTAGTCTATAGTCTAGTCTATAGTCTAGTCTATAGTCTAGTCTATAGTCTAGTCTATAGTCTAGTCTAGTCTATAGTCTAGTCTATAGTCTAGTCTAGTCTAGTCTATAGTCTAGTCTAGTCTATAGTCTAGTCTATAGTCTAGTCTATAGTCTAGTCTATAGTCTAGTCTATAGTCTAGTCTATAGTCTAGTCTATAGTCTAGTCTATAGTCTAGTCTATAGTCTAGTCTATAGTCTAGTCTATAGTCTAGTCTATAGTCTAGTCTATAGTCTAGTCTATAGTCTAGTCTATAGTCTAGTCTATAGTCTAGTCTATAGTCTAGTCTATAGTCTAGTCTATAGTCTAGTCTATAGTCTAGTCTATAGTCTAGTCTATAGTCTAGTCTATAGTCTAGTCTATAGTCTAGTCTATAGTCTAGTCTATAGTCTAGTCTATAGTCTTGTCTAGTCTATAGTCTAGTCTATAGTCTAGTCTATAGTCTAGTCTATAGTCTAGTCTATAGTCTAGTCTATAGTCTAGTCTATAGTCTAGTCTAGTCTATAGTCTAGTCTATAGTCTAGTCTATAGTCTAGTCTATAGTCTAGTCTAGTCTATAGTCTAGTCTATAGTCTAGTCTATAGTCTAGTCTATAGTCTAGTCTATAGTCTAGTCTATAGTCTAGTCTATAGTCTAGTCTATAGTCTAGTCTATAGTCTAGTCTAGTCTAGTCTAGTCTATAGTCTATAGTCTAGTCTATAGTCTATAGTCTAGTCTATAGTCTATAGTCTAGTCTATAGTCTATAGTCTAGTCTATAGTCTAGTCTATAGTCTAGTCTATAGTCTAGTCTATAGTCTATAGTCTAGTCTATAGTCTAGTCTATAGTCTAGTCTATAGTCTAGTCTATAGTCTAGTCTATAGTCTAGTCTATAGTCTAGTCTATAGTCTAGTCTATAGTCTAGTCTATAGTGTAGTCTATAGTCTAGTCTATAGTCTAGTCTATAGTCTAGTCTATAGTCTAGTCTATAGTCTAGTCTATAGTCTAGTCTATAGTCTAGTCTATAGTCTAGTCTATAGTCTAGTCTATAGTCTAGTCTATACTCCAGTCTATAGTCTAGTCTATAGTCTAGTCTATCGTCTAGTCTGTAGTATAGTCTAGTCTATAGTATAGTCTAGTCTATAGTATAGTCTAGTCTATAGTATAGTCTAGTCTATAGTCTAGTCTATAGTCTAGTCTATAGTCTAGTCTATAGTCTAGTCTATAGTCTAGTCTATAATCTAGTCTATAGTCTAGTCTATAGTCTAGTCTATAGTCTAGTCTATAGTCTAGTCTATAGTCTAGTCTATAGTCTAGTCTATAGTCTAGTCTATAGTCTAGTCTATAGTCTAGTCTATAGTCTAGTCTATAGTCTAGTCTATAGTGTATTGTATAGTGTAGTATATAGTCCGGTATATAGTGTAGTCTATCTAATCTGGAGTAGACTATAGCCTATTTTAGGGCGCAAACATCAAATATGTTAAAAAAGTTGTTTTTATTTTAATTAAATTTTTCTTAATTGTATTCAAAAAACAAAACAAAGAAATCACTTCTTTATTTAATTTAGATTTTCTTGCAAAGTAAACTTTTTCTTCTATTTGCCTTAAATTTTGCTACATGTATTTAAACTTCCGGTTTAACCACATAAAATGAAATACAAAATATATTTCTTTTTTTGTTTAAAACCCAGAAGAAGAACCCACAAAAAAAGAAACAAGCAGCCAATTAAAAATTAAAAGAAGAAAGATTTTTTTTAAAGAAAAGCAAATCTATAAAAAAGAATACTTAACAACACCTAAAAGTAGGCTAAAGTAAATATGTTGCTTTAGCTTAAAATAGGTTAAAGTAAGAGCGAAAAAAACTTTCTAACTATTCCTTTACAATTATTTTAAACAAATATTTCTTTAGAAAATTTTAAGCATTAATTTAAAAATATATATATATACCACTCACCATAAGTTTTAATCATTACACTGGTTTTCAACAGCTCTGTACTGGCATACGATGCTGTACAATAGTATCTGCCTTCCATTTCCACACTGAGAGAGGTAATCATAAGCGCCAAACTTTCACCGGGTAATGTTTCTGTATACATGGGTGGCTGTTGATTGCGGCCATTTCTATAGTTAAAACACAAGGAAAAGAATATAGAGAAAATTTTTAATTAGTATTTTAATATTTACATAAAAAACAAGCTAAAATTTCTATAAGATAAATAACATTTCTTTTAAAAAATATAACTCTTTTTTTTTGCAAATGATTTTTTTATATTTTAGGGTGTTAGTGTTGATTTGCAAACCAAAATCAGCCAGAGTAAATGTGTATAAAAATATATATGTAAATGAACAAAATGAAAAACCTAGAATGTAAATGTTATCAATGTTTGGAACTAATTGTTAAAGGATATAGAGAGTAGTAGTAGTAGTTGTTTTGTTTCTTTAAAGTGCATTATTAATTTCATTAGTATACTTTAAGGGGGGCGTTACAAAAACACTTATGAGTTTAGAAGTTAATATGGAGTTTTAATGATGATTTCAATTTAAATTAAATTTATCAAATGTAAACGATTTTTATAGAATATCTTAAATTTTTGGTCCGAACATGATTTTTAACATGAAATGATAATGCAAAGTTTAGACTATGACTAAGCAAGACTAGACAATAGACTAGATTTTAGACTAGACTAGAATATACACAAGACTGTAGACTAGATAATAGACTGAAAAATAGAGTAGACTATAGACTAGATTATAGACTAGACTATAGACTAGACTATAGACTAGACTCTAGACTAGACTCTAGACTAGACTATAGACTAGACTATAGACTAGACTATAGACTAGACTATAGACTAGACTATAGACTAGACTATAGACTAGACTATAGACTAGACTATAGACTAGACTATAGACTAGACTATAGACCTAGACTATAGACTAGACTATAGACTAGACTAGACTAGACTAGACTAGACTAGACTAGACTATAGACTAGACTATAGACTAGACTATAGACTAGACTATAGACTAGACTATAGACTAGACTATAGACTAGACTATAGACTAGACTATAGACTAGACTATAGGCTAGACTATAGACTAAATTATAGACAAGACTATAGACTAGACTATAGACTAGACTATAGACTAGACTATAGACTAGACTATAGACTAGACTAGACTATAGACTAGAATATTGACTGGACTATAGACTAGAATATTGACTAGACTATAGACTAGACTATAGACTAGACTATAGACTAGACTATAGACTAGACTATAGACTAGACTATAGACTAGACTATAGACTAGACTATAGACTAGACTATAGACTAGACTATAGACTAGACTATAGACTAGACTATAGACTAGACTATAGACTAGACTATAGACTAGACTATAGACTAGACTATAGACTAGACTATAGACTAGACTATAGACTAGACTATAGACTAGACTATAGACTAGACTATAGACTAGACTATAGACTATAGACTAGACTATAGACTAGACTATAGACTAGACTATAGACTAGACTATAGACTAGACTATAGACTAGACTATAGACTAGACTATAGACTAGACTATAGACTATACTATAGACTAGACTATAGACTAGACTATAGACTAGACTATAGACTAGACTATAGACTAGACTATAGACTAGACTATAGACTAGACTATAGGCTAGACTATAGACTAGACTTATAGACTAGACTATAGACTAGACTATAGACTAAGACTAGACAGACTATAGACTAGACTATAGACTAGACTATTAGACTAGACTATAGACTAGACTATATGACTAGACTATAGACTAGACTAGACTAGACTATACTAGACTATAGACTAGACTATAGACTAGACTATAGACTAGACTATAGACTAGACTAATAGACTAGACTATAGACTAGACTATAGACTAGACTATAGACTAGACTATAGACTAGACTATAGACTAGACTATAGACTAGACTATAGACTAGACTATAGACTAGACTATAGACTAGACTATAGACTAGACTATACTAGACTAGACTATAGACTAGACTATAGACTAGACTATAGACTAGACTATAGACTAGACTAGACGACTATAGACTAGACTATAGACTAGACTATAGACTAGACTATAGACTAGACTATAGACTATAGACTATAGACTAGACTATAGACTAGACTATAGACTAGACTATAGACTAGACTATAGACTAGACTATAGACTAGGCTATAGACTAGACTATAGACTAGACTACAGATTAGACTATAGACTAGACTATAGACTAGACTACAGATTAGACTATAGACTAGACTATAGACTAGACTACAGATTAGACTATAGACTAGACTATAGACTAGACTACAGATTAGACTATAGACTAGACTATAGACAAGACTATAGACTAGATTACAGATTAGACTATAGACTAGACTATAGACAAGACTATAGACTAGATTATAGACTAGACTATAGACAAGGCTATAGACTAGTCTATAGACCAGTCTATAGACTAGACTATAGATTAGACTATAGATTAGACTATAGGCTAGACTATAGACTAGACTATAGACTAGACTATAGACTAGACTATAGACTAGACTATAGACTAGACTATAGACTAGACTATAGACTAGACTATAGACTAGACTATAGACTAGACTATAGACTAGACTATAGACTAGACTATAGACTAGACTATAGACTAGACTATAGACTAGACTATAGACTAGACTATAGACTAGACTATAGACTAGACTATAGACTAGACTATAGACTAGACTATAGACTAGACTATAGACTAGACTATAGACTAGACTATAGACTAGACTATAGACTAGACTATAGACTAGACTATAGACTAGACTATAGACTAGACTATAGACTAGACTATAGACTAGACTATAGACTAGACTATAGACTAGACTATAGACTAGACTATAGACTAGACTATAGACTAGACTATAGACTAGACTATAGACTAGACTATAGACTAGACTATAGACTAGACTACAGATTAGACTATAGACTAGACTATAGACTAGACTACAGATTAGACTATAGACTAGACTATAGACTAGACTACAGATTAGACTATAGACTAGACTATAGACTAGACTACAGATTAGACTATAGGCTAGACTATAGACAAGACTATAGACTAGATTACAGATTAGACTATAGACTAGACTATAGACAAGACTATAGACTAGATTATAGACTAGACTATAGACAAGGCTATAGACTAGACTATAGACCAGTCTATAGACTAGACTATAGATTAGACTATAGACTAGACTATAGAGTAGACTATAGACTAGACTATAGACTAGACTATAGACTAGACTATAGACTAGACTATAGACTAGACTATAGACTAGACTATAGACTAGACTATAGACTAGACTATAGACTAGACTATAGACTAGACTATAGACTAGACTATAGACTAGACTATAGACTAGACTATAGACTAGACTATAGACTAGACTATAGACTAGACTATAGACTAGACTATAAACTAGACTATAGACTAAACTATAGTCTAGACTGTAGACTAGACTATAGTCTAGATTATAGACTGGACTAAAGTTTGTCCAGAATATAGACTAGATTTTTGTGTAGGCTATAGACTAGACTATAGTCTATATAATGGACTAGACTATAGTGCAGATAATAAATTGTATTTAAATCACTTCCAATGCTCTTTATTTTATTCATATTTCTAAAAATAATTTTCTCAACTTGAGTTATCTATCTATATATATAAAATTCTAACGTTACTGACTGACTGACTGACTGACTGACTGACTGATTCACTGACTGATTCATCATCGCACAGCCTAAACGGTTGAAGCTAAAGAGCTGAAATTTGGACAGGAGGTTGGTCTCCCGCCAAATAGATCCACTAAGACGGGATTTTTGGAAATTCGAATGTTTAGGGGGTAAAAAAGGGTAAAAACGGGTAAATTCGGTAACCTTATATCTCCTAAACTAGAAAAGATACAAAAACAGTTTAAAGCTTATCGCTGTTCATTTAAAAAATAAACGGACAGGTGTCTGGTACTTTTTTAAAATTCGGCCCCTTTAGGGAATAAACGGGTAAAAACTGTATTTTGGTACTTTTTTCGCACCCCATGTATCTTTTAAACCAGTGCACATTCAAAAAATATTTTTGACTCCTTCATAACTTAACAAAAAAATAAAAATATGAATTTAGTACTTTTTGGATATTCGGACGTTTAAGGGGTTAAAATTGTACCTATTTTTGGTACTTTTTTCATAAAACATTGTTTTTGGTTTATTAACTTATACATATGAATACATAATAACGGGCTCCCACTACGATGTTGCAACTTTTTGGAATAGAATTTTTATTTCGTTAATGGGGAGGAAAAAAGTACCAAAAGGGGTAAAAACGGGAAATTTGATTTTATTCAACCACAATGATCCAATTTAGATAAAATTTTTAAATTTAGAAACACTAAATATCCTAATGGGGTGTTATTTGGAACCCCGGTACCAAGTGATATTTTTTGGTACTTTTCATTCTCCAACTGTCCTTTTTGAGTTTTCTATGATATTGAAATAGAAACATGAAATTAATAATAAAGGGACTTTTCGCTACTTTTTCGTTCTACACAGGTACTTTTTTGAGTTTTCTTTAAAATTAAACCTAGAAACATGAAATTAAGCATGTAGAGCTCGGAGTAAATGAGAATCTATAAAATGGGACTTTTTGGTACTTTTTCGTTCTTCAAAAGGTACTTTTTGAATTTTCTATAATATTGAACCTAGAAACATGAAATTAAACATGTAGAGACCGGAGTAAATGAGAATCTATAAAAGGGGACTTTTTGGTACTTTTTCGTCCTTCGACTGGTACTTTTTGAGTTTTCTATAAAATTTAACCTAGAAACATGAAATTAAGCATGTAGAGCCCGGAGTAAATGAGAATCTATAAAAGGGGACTTTTTGGTACTTTTTCGTCCTTCGACTGGTACTTTTTGAGTTTTCTATAAAATTTAACCTAGAAACATGAAATTAAGCATGTAGAGCCCGGAGTAAATGAGAATCTATAAAAGGGGACCTTTTGGTACTTTTTCGTCCTTCGACTGGT